GAGAACATATTGAACATCATCACTTAATAATATTGACACTTTGTTGGCTCGTTTTAGATGACGATTTAGATTCAGATATATGTATATATATGTATCTTTCATTGTCGGCCCGATTTACATTTACCCGCAGCGCCCAGCGCCCAGCGCCTACGATTACGATCCCGAAACGAGCCACGCACACAATCAGCAAATTAAGTGATTATGTTAACCGGTTGTTGTTGTCTTTGTTGCTTTATATGAAAGGCTGCCAGCCAGTCAGCCAGCCAGCCGGGCCCAAAAGCAGAAATTTACATGAAAATTAACTTGTTATGTGCCAAGCAACAAAAACAACAAAAACAACAGCAACAACAGCAGCAGCAACAATAACAACCAGAGCAACAGGCAGCGACAATTTGAACAACGCAAACTGTAACCGAAGAAACCCAAGCCAAAGCCGACTCCAACTTGGGCTCCAGTTGGTTTCCAGTTGGACTCCAATTGGCTAGCTGCTAAGTTGTCTTCAGTTCATTCTTTCATTTCTTAAAGCCGGCAATAATTTGGTATAATTTCAAAATTAGAGCTCATCAACAATCCCTCTCTCTCTCTCATCCCCCTCATTCTCTTTCGTGTAAGCCCTTGGCCATGCTCGGCTGCCTGTTGCTCGAGCCATAACTAAACATCATATCATACCATATATATATCTATATATATATGTAAAGTTTATACCCAACACTCATATGTCGCAGCGTTGCCCGTTTTAGATTAGATAAAAAGCGAGCAATTTGCATAGTTTCTGATTGGACTGTGGGAAACACAAACGTCGCTCTCCCAGCCGCAGCACAAAGCAGCGGCAAATTGTGTTTTAGTTTAGCCACAAACTAAAACGTGCTCGAATCAAACCAAACTAACTACCAAAACTTTTCTTCTGCCAAAATGTAAAAACTTTTGCTACATTTTTATTCTGCTTTGCTGTGATTATGAACATTTTGTCACGCAGCAGCTAACATTTAGACGATGATTTCTATGAGATTACAAACTCTATATATATATCTAAGTATATATACCATGCTATAGGTCATAGCAGTAACTGCTGAGTAACATCCTCAAAGTTGTAATTCAACATGATAAGATATACTATAGACTATGGGATATAAACAGTCCAATGAATCGTTGAATTATAGTACAAGATATATTAATATATATATCATATATGATGATCTCTATGATCTCTATGATACAATATTTTGAAATAAAACTCAAAAATGTCAAGCTTCAACTGGATTCTGGAAGATATCAATAGAAGATATCAATGCTTTATATGCTCCTCTCTCTTTTGCCCTCACTTCTCTCCATCTCTCTCTCTCTCTCTCTCTCTGTCACTCTCTCTCCCTTCCCCGCTCTGCCTCTTCACAAACTTCAACGTGCCTTCGACGTTTCAACTTGTTGAATTTGAAAAACTTTACATGAAGCCACAAAGAGCCACAAAAAGAGACAAGCCCAAGGTCAGTTGCAGCAGCAACTAACTAGATAAGAGAAATTCTTTAAGAACCCAACTGGAATGGGCAAAGAACGGAATGTCTAGCAATCGCCCTTTGTGAGCTGTGCACGAACTTTGAGCCGTGTCTATGTTTTTTTCTTCTTTCATTTGAGCTGCTTGCGACTTCCGTCTTACAAATTTGTAGATTTTCAAAATGTTATTTGCAACACGTACGCGCAGAGGCCAATCAAAGATGGGTCTCTGTTGCTGCCTCGGCTGGCAAGAGGGGCGCAGAGGGGCAACTGCGGCGGCTGCGGCTGCGGCTGCGGCTGCTGTTTGACTCGTTTAATTCAAATTAGCTCGCTTTATAAACGAAGCCGTTGATGTCTCTGTCGATGAGCTGACACACAAGCATAGGCTTGATATATGCACACACATAGCCACATATATATATCTATATCTATATCTATATCTGTATATATAAGCATATAGAATTGCCTTGTGAATCGGCTTTTGGCTATGCCGCTTTGGTGTCTCCAGCGCTGGCTAATTTATGGCCACAGCGCCATTATAATTCTCACTCTGTGCTCTCGCTGTCTCGCTCTGGTCGGCGCTGTGGCCCTCTCTTTCTGGCCGTCTAATGCTTATTCAAATCGCCGTTTCGTTGGCAAAAAAATCTTGAACTCGGCTGGAACAGTTTGTCTGCCACGTCTAGACGCAAGGAAGCCTTCGCAAGCGGCTGCACTTGAACTTGAGACACCCCTACTTTTAATCTGTTTCTCTTTCCATTAGGGGTACTCCCCCGCCGCCCCCCGTTGGGCACATGTGAACGTTTGAACAAAACATTCATGAATGAAATGAGCTGAAGTTGAGTTTGTGGGGGGCGGCTTGGGAGGCGCATTGATAAGCAGCCGAGTATCGTTGTCGCCTTGTTAGGCACTCCAGCTGGAGACAGAGAGACAATCACACACACACACACACACACACACACACACTCGAGCAGCCAGACACCTTTTGTTTAGCTCTAGATCTTGATGTCTGGCTCATTGGGGTTGCTTAGTGGTTGCAGCCACACAGCGACTGTTGCTGCCACAGCCACAGCACAGCAGCCACAGCAGCTGCTGCTCGCTCCGTCTGCAACTATTGTCAAGCTTTTAATTAAAGACCTCTATTGGCATTTGTTAACTATTTGCTGCTGAGCTGGCTCATTTAAATGCATATAAATATATATATATGTCTATTAGGAGCTAAGCGCATGGCTCGCAGTTAATTGAAACTTTTGGCTTGTAGCATGTGGCGTATACTTAATAAAGCTTGCAGTTGGCTTCAACTCGATTCTGGAGTGGTTCAAGCTTCTGTGGTTAAGCTTCGTGCAGCACTCGGCTTAGGAGCTAATTGGCACGTGTCCCTGGCCACGTTACACTATCTGCGGCCCACTGCTTCTCGGGTCAGTTCTTAGTTCTTTGTTCTTAGTGTAACAAGGCCAAAAAGCTAATCTAATTGTGATATGTGGCCAAGTTCATGATGCTTTAAACGTGTAACAGCAGCTCGCAGCTGTGCCAAGACTTTTGCTAAATAATATTCTGCTAATTAAATTAACTTCAATTAGACTAGAGACAGAGAGAGACAGAGAGAGTGGGAGAGGGAGTAGTGACACGTTCTAATTGGAATAAAGTCAACTGTAAATGAACTAAAATATTATGGCTGGCAGCAATGGGAACTGTTGCATGATTCCACTTGGATTTTGTTTCGAGTAATTCCAATTCGAATTCGCTTTTTAAAACTTTTATGAGCTGCGAGCAAAAAAAACTTTTCACTTAATATTAATGTAATTCAATTGGAATACTGCGAGTATTAATAATTATATACTTTTACTTTAAACTTAAGCAAATCTTTAAAAATTTCACTTACAACATAAAAAAATTCTTGATGTAGTTCATAAAATTAAAATCAAATTAATTTATATATTATTTATAAAAGTTAAAAAAAGAAGAGTAATAAATTATAAAATTAATTATTTTTACATATAATTATAAATGAAAGGAAAACATTTTTTAATGTAAAACTTATATCACTTAAATTAATTAAATTAAATTATAAATATTTAAATTTATAAATTATTAAATAACAGATATATATAACAGATCTATATAAATTATAAATATTTAATTTTATAAACTGTTAAATAACAGATATATTCTAATTTTGTTATTGATTTTTATTATAAAAAAATTATAAATGAATTGGTAAATTATATTATGTTATTAGCAAATAATTGCATGCATTTTTATTTTTTAAATTTATTTTTAAAATTAAAAATTAAGTTTTAATACTTATTTAGTTTATTATGAAAAGAAGTAAGCAAAAATTAATGTAAATTGATTTGTTCCTGTTAAACAAATTTTACATAGTAGCGAGATTTGGTATTTAATTATAGGCTCTTATGTTTGAAGTGTATAAAATTTGTAATATATAATTTGTAATAATTATAGATAAATATAATTATTTGAGAACACAATATACTTGCGCTGACCATCAAGCTATTATTATTAAACAAGTCTGGCGACTAAAGCCTTTGCCCAAGACAACGAAACAAAGTTCAGACACTCGTCAGGTCTGTGAAGCCGGATCTTCATTGTTAACTTGTCCCAAAGAGAAGTCAACTGCCAAGATAGGTATAACTATATACATATATTTACTATTCCAATTGTTGATTATAAGACAATAGTAAAGAATAAATTAATTAAATTAAATAGTTTTTATTGGCAAGCAGAAAAAGTTAATTTTATAAAAATTCTGTTTTTATGTCAGACTTAAAGTCTGCCAAGAGCGAAAACAGCCGTCATATATATCATATCATGACTATGATTAAGCTCTGTCATATCTAACATCTTATATCATATCAACTATCGTTTGACTAACATTTCAATATATATTTAACTGCTCTGTTTACACTCTCAACAAATCGCCAAAGAAGTGAAGCTTAGAAAAGGTTATTTTGGAGCAAATTTACAGCTGACGGTGCAAAAGTTCGGCTCAGCTGAAATGTCATAGAAAGTCAAAGTTTTGCTTTGCCAAAAAAAGTTACTAAAAACAAAGCAAAGAGAGGCCACGCCCTTGCCAAGTGGGCTAAATGGGCCGTCATTCCATAATAGTTGTTGTTGCTCCAGTTGAAGTACATGAATTTATAATGTTTATATTTAAGCCAACATTAAGTAGCTTGTAACGCACACACACACACACACGCACACTGCCAATGTCAATAAGTTTCGTGTGCTTGTGTTGTTGCTTGTAATATGCCAGTTGAATTGTCAATTTATACAAAATGCAAACAAACATAAACTCAAATGGCAGAGAGACGAGAAAAGTTGTCAACTGTCAAATTTAATCATGGATATTATAAAACCAGGCTAGCAGCAAGCCAGATGCATGGCTAGCATAAGCGAAAAGCAGTCAAAACAAGAGCAAAGGCAAAAGCAAAACAATGCCAATTGCATCTAATTAGACTGGTGTATAAGACATCTAAAGCAACTCTTATATTTACCTCCTTCTGGCAAATGGCGTGCAGACGCTTCCGTTTCCGCTTGGCACAATATCCAATTAGAATTTGCAGCTGCGCAGGCGTCGCGTCCAATTTGAAGCACAACAAATTTCGAACTTTCGTTAAGATTTATATAAATCTTATATTATTATAATTTTTGCACTTTGTTATCAATTTGCACTGTTGAACAATGAATGCAACAAATTGTGTTGCACCAACCGAAACTTTGGCACTTTATCAAATTCTAAATCTATTTTAACTGTAAATGCAATTTGTTACTGAGGCTTAGGCAGCGGGAGCGAGAGGCACTTCTGGGCACAACACAACAGAAGATTATTAATAATTTTTACTTCTTTGATTTATTATTTTTTCTTATAAATTCTCGATCAATTTTTGTTTATTATTTTGGAATTTGCGAATTTCTCGTCATGTGCGAAAGACGAAAGAACAAAACGAGCGGCCGCGCCGAATTTTGTCGCACGAGCGCCTAAAATCAACTGACTCGAAACGCAGCGCGTCGTTTCACTCAAGCGCTCGGTTGGCGTTTGCTGCACTCAGTTGAGCGCTTGTCACTCACGGTTTGACTGCAACCCAGTTGCAATCGAACCAAACGCGGCCAGCCAACCAGTCTGGTTGGTTTTTGAATGTTCGTTTCGATTCGCGTCGTTCCGGCGCGCGCGCTCACAAACCTGTTCGCTCGCTGCGTTGAGTGCTGAGTGTAAACAGGTTTCGTTATGTTGCGAGCGCATTGCGCTTAATTACTCAATTATGCTGCCAACACTCAAAGAGCGACCCCAGCGTGCGTGCGAGCGAGATGCACTTAGAGTGTGTGAGTGAGTGCAATTTAGCGGTTATAGTTTAGAGATTTATTGTTTTATCTAGCTGAATTCACAGCTCGATGCAGCTGGAGCTATTTTCAGTTCATTACAATGTTGGAGCTGATTTTATTACATGCGCAGACAACGTTGTTACCTGGCCAAAGGATTCTCAACTCAGATAGAACAATATAAAGGCGTCAATTTGATGATCGTGTGAAATTCGGACTTTAATGAGCCACGTACCTGGCTGATCATTATACTTATACCTAAGGGTCAACGTGCGGGAAGTCTAAATTCAAAGACGCTTCCTCTTTCTATATGCACAACAACAACTAAATCCTTGAGCACTCATAAATATTTATGCGAACATTCGCAGCGCATGTTCTACGACTGTCCCAACACCCATTCCCATTTCCATTCCCATTTCTATTTCCATTTCCATTTCCATACCATTTTCATTTACCATTTTCATGCCCATTCCACGAACAACTCTTTCTCGCTCATTTTGCATCTCTCGTCAAATTCTTTAACTTGGCAATTTGTTACGGTACTTTTGCTATTTCACAGCTCCGACTCCCAGCTCCAGCTCCAGCTCGAGCTCCAGCTCCAACGCCAATGCCAACTCCGACTCTGCATTTATGCAAGCCAACGTTGTCGACAAACTTAAAGAAGATGCCGCATGGCCCGGCGAGCGAGCTGGTGTGTGTGTGTGTATGTGTGTGTGTGGATATTTGTGTGACAAGTGTCTTTCATTAGCATAAGTAAATCTTCTCGAATCCTCAAATTTATTTGTCAACACTTGACAATTTCATTGTTGACGCTGCAGGCGCAGCTGTAAACGAGACTCGAAACTCCGAGCGGCGAGCTGCGAGCTGCGAGCTGCGCGCTCCGAGTCTTGGATAACAAATCATGATTTCTGTCTTGCATGTCATTTTGGCATGGCCCAACTTCCACTCTGCACTCAGCCCCAGCCGCTCCAAGACAATGGCATTGGCCATTGGTCAAAAGGGAGTCCGAGCCGTTCAACTCCAACTACGGCTTAAATCAGAGACAAATATTTGCCCACAAGCAGACAACATTAGCTTTGCTTTAAGCCCTTTTCGGTTTTTGCCACTCGAAAGCAATGTGTAAAATTCAGGATAAGATCTTGACTCATAAGCTCTAATAAGTGTTCAAAAGGTTAGTTACAAATATTGGAATATCGAATTTAGCTCACGCTTGAAAGAAGTTTCAAGTGTAAAATTTGAAATCATTTCAGAATATGTCTTCAGAGTCTAGCTAGAATAGAGTATGGGTAGCATGAATATGGAGAGCCATTTGGTCAATTCTCTTCATTCATATACTCCTTTGTAAGCAGCAAAGTTTTTGCATACCTTGACTTCACTGTACTATCAACATTTTCATTAGAACTAACTTAATACATTATATATATTAACTATATATCCGAAATTATTATTATTGAATTTTTTTATTTATTAATTTTTTTTTTACATTTAATGTTTTATTATTTTTAATTTATGTTATTTAATTGTGCATTTTTTAATTATTTATTTGTTTTTTTTTTTATATGTATTTTTTACCCACTTTTTTATATTTTTTTATATAAATATAAATAAATAAACTTATATCTATTTTTATATATTTTTTTATTTTTTTATATTATTTTTTTATATAAATATATTATTTAAAATATTTTTCCCCTTGTTTTGCTCTCTTTAATGCTTCCAGATGAAACTCTTTTTTATTGGAACTTTCTAAAGAAGTTTTTTATTTCGCAATTTTTTCCTTATTGGCTATATAAATATATATAACTGTATATATATATATAATTACAGCTGCCTTTCACTCGCCGTTTTTATTGTATTATGACGCTTAATAATGCGGCATTAGGCATTGAATTGGCTTGAACGTTGGCCATGGCTAATTGCTGCTGTGCTGATGGCTCCTCCGCTTGCCCCAACTCCCCAACTGCCTCTCTACTACCCAAATTGGCATCTGCTCTGGCTGTTTTGGCCAAGGAGGCGTTAAATTCGACAGCTTGGGCCTTTCTTATCGCGCTTATCTGCGCAGTGTCAACGACGTCGTCAGCGTCAGCGTCAGCGTCGGCGTCGCCTTAGCCTTTTGTTGTTGACCATAACCGTGACTCTAGCCACGGCATTATGGCCAACACACCATTACCAACAAAAGCCATTGCCATTCATTAATAGCTCTGCGGCTTTTGTCTGCTGTCCACGGCATCATCTTTGAGCAACGTTTTCGGCATGCCTCATGCGGCATGCGGCAAGTGTTCATAATACTCATAATCTCAAATTACTGCAAATTTTCGCAGCTCACCTTTATTATTATGTATTTTCCCTTCCTTTCTATGCTTTGGCTGCAAGTCTTGCATTATTTTGATTGTTGAGCATTTTATTATCATGTCAATAAGCCGGTCTTTTATGCCACCTAATGTATCTGTTATGCTGCACACACACATACACACACTCACATGCACATAGAGTCGTATCTTAACGCATTTCCGCCATGTACAACTTGTTGCAGCATCCCCCTTTTAAGCCTTGCACCTGCCCCTCGCTATCCGCGGCGATTACCGTGTGGACAGGTGCGCGCTGAAGGCCATTGAAAAGCGTTTGATAGCGGCCAAGACAGTGGATGTATTTTATGATTTGTTTCTGCCAAACACAAGCTCGCATGTGAGGAAATGTAAACGCCGCTGGAGAAATACTTAACTCTATCTGAAAGTTAAGCATCTATATATAAATATTTATTTATATATTTAAAAGCGTTTGCACCGACTCAGCACTGACTGATCGATGCACTGAGGCAACTAGTTGCATGCATGCCAGGCAGCATGTGTGCATATATGTGCAGCTATGCATGTATGCATGTATGTGTGAATGCATGTATGTATGCATGTATGTATGCATGTATGTATGAACACATTTATGTATGAATGCATTTATGTATATTCATGCATGTAAGCGTGCGTACAGGTATGCATGTATGTACATATGGATGTACGTATGCACGTATGTATATGTATGCATGTATGTAGGTACGTACATGTATGTACGTATGTATGTATATGCTTCCATATATATATGTAGATAGGTAAGCATACACACTTCCATATACTTATGTACACGCACCTACAATAAACATACATTCTCTAATGCCCAAAGTGGAGCTGCCTTCTATGCGATTCTCATAATCAAATCATAGCTACGCATATATATATAAATGCTAACCCAGCTTCCGTTACGCTGTGCTACCTATTCAACTGCTTGACAACGCCCTTCTTTACGATTCTCATAATCATTTATCATAGTCCAGCTGAGCAACTAATCAATTTCATAGTTAACTCAATGTGTCAGTCCATATCGCACCTTGGCCATTAGCCGATCCTAAATGCTGTTCAAGCACTCGAGGCACCTGTTCCAAGGCATTTGCTTTGACAAACCCCAAGCCAAATTGGGATTGCGACAATTGCTTTGTGTACATACATCATACAGAACTTTAATTGTGCCTGGCACTCAATCTTTCAATCACGCCCGTCCGCCGTGCTGCAGTTGCAACAACAAGTTGCCCGACTACAAGCCGCGTTGCATGCAGCCACGCGGATTACATGCGGCTGAGTGAGCGCGGTGAAGGACGACGACGCATGCAAGTCAAGGCGAGGCAAGGCAAGGCAATATAATCTATATAATCATAAGAGTGGACCATGTTGTAACATAGCCAGCACAAGCTGAAGTAGAAGAAGAGCCACTGCCCCTGCCTCTTGACTCGCCCCGCCGCACGCATTTGCGACATGTTGTCAACTCGAATTGCGTTCGACTGATTGAAGGCAGGCCCAACCCAGTCGTCGAGGCCGGCACAGCGACAAGTTGATGGCCACATAGCCATAGCCAAAGCCCTGGACATGGACAGTGGTGCTTCAAAGATACAAAGTAGGCAAGAGTCCAAGTGGTCCATGACTTAAAAGTGAGCCACAGACAGGTTTCTCGTCTTGGCTTTAGCATTTCGGGTAGGCGTTGCAGATTGATCAACAGAGCTGGCCGGAGACGTCGCGACATTTGTCTAAGTCGCTGCCTTGTTTACGTTTGCGCTTTGCAGCGTCATGGATGAGCTGTGCAGCTGGGCTGAGCAGGCAACCCAGGCAGCCCAGGCAGCCCAGGCAGATGCGGCTGCCACATCCACATCTATAAGTTTGCCTCGTACAAACATTTCAAGTAATTTCGCCATCAATCTTTCACTTTTGCACTCGTTTCGGACAGGGCCCATGACCTTGTCCTCATGTCCTCTGCCCACTCACTCAACCTGAACCTGTGCGCTTCTGCATGCGTACAGTTTATTTTGATCTTGGTG